AGCAAACAGCAAAGTGAAGAGGAGGTACTGTGCAGTCTGCACTGTGATATCCACCCCCTTGCTCCCCCTTGTAACTCAAAGTCTGGAAATGTCATCACTGCCGTTGGTTTTTATTTCCTTCCTCTGACCTTGTCACAAGCAGTGTAATGCAGAATTGGGATGCTGCTGCGTGTAGTGATTGTCTCGTGCATTTCTCTGACCAAATGGTCCTGCTGCTTTGTGTTTAAAAAAAGAGAGAAAGAGAGCCTGAGATCTGTGTTTGTCTGACATTGTTCATAATGGTAGAAAAAGTAACAGGACCAAAGTTCCTCAAGAAGTTTGGTGTTAGGGACGTCTTTAAATTCTAGCTGGTTTGAAGTTTTTGATTATTTAATTTTTTTAGTGTAACTAAAATTAGTAAATAACAGCCTTTTTCTGAATACAATTCCCGTTTGCAGATATTCCACTTACTGTTGTGTTTATCAAAATTAGGGTCATTAGATTCAAGTTTTTTTCTGCTTTCTGAAAATGATCATTATTTTCTGTAAAGATAAAATAACCTTTAATCTAGTGATACTCATCTTTCTTCAAACTCAGGAGCATGTAGGAGACGGCTTAGATTAAAAAAATAGAACATTTTTTTCTTAAAGATTAAAATCTAATCGTAATGACTAGTTGTTCTTAGTACATTTAAATAGGAGGGCCAAACTTCATTTATATATTTCTGTAAATTGCACCTGATTTTCATACAAGCTTACTGAAGTTAAACATTTTTGTTTTCAGATGGGATGATGATGTTGTCTTCAAGAATTGTGCCAAGGGGATAGACGAAACAAAAAAGGACAAAAGATTCGTGAATGATACTCTGCGATCAGAATTTCACAAGAAGTTTATGGAAAAATATATCAAGTAGTACAGTTTTATGTGCGGTGGCGCTGAAGGACTTGGCAGGTCATGGTTGTTCCCTCCCTCTCCCTCAGAATTCAAGGCTGAATACTCAGTTGTGAACTCCCAAACGCTTTTCTGAGATCATCAACAGCTTTGTAATTGGTAGTTGCTATGTATCTGGAGTTTTTATTCTCCAGTGTGTTTTCCGTTTTAATTAAATCAGTTTGTGTTTCATGAATGTTTTTCTGCTCACGTGCATTTACTTTTACTGGCTGCCTTGTAAATGGTAGAAGAGAGAAGCTGGTTTGCAATAAATACTTCTAATTGTTTAAATTGCTTTCCAGAACAACCTGTATCTGTGGTGACAGTGGTTTGTAATTTACACTTGTGTGAATGTCAGTACTATCAAAGATGGGGAATAGCGGAGTATGATGAGCAGTGTGAACTGAAGAGAGCTGTATTTTCTGTAGCAGACTGGGCTTACTTCCTCTTAATAGCTAGTTAGAAACTTTGTTCATGATCTTCCTTTTTAGTTTCTCCTTATTGTCAACCAAGTTACAATTTGGTGGCCTAGCTCCAAGTTCTCAGCAGCCCTGGTTTCTGGTTTTTCTTGGCTCAGCACTTCTGGGGTGATACCATGTAATCCTTGGGGGAACACTGAGAGGGAAAACCTCTGTGGAACTGTGGGGTTTTTCCTCTTTAAAAAACCATTGCAGTGCTCGGTCCCTCAGCCACAACCGCGGTGCCGCAAGGCTCAGTCTGTTGGTGTGTGGTGTAACAGTGTTGTCAGAAGCTGCAAGTGAGTCTTCTTATTACAGGAATTACCTCCTTGAGATACCATAGTACACTTTGTTTACTTCTTAAATGTCCATTTTAACACTCTAATAGGACAGTATAAAATATGAATGTCTGTCTGAAAAAAAATCTTCAGTTATGAAGGGATTCCCCTGCCCCCTTTTTCTGTCATCTCAGTTGCATTTGAAATCTGGGCAAAGTGATGCACTGGCTGTGAACCTAACATTGGGAAAATGTAGTAGTTACCTCTCTACCTGGAAGGCTGCGGTGGCACAACTCGGATGCGTTTATGTAAAATTCTTGCCCTTTTCCTTGCCTAGAATTGTGCTCAGTCTAGTTCGTTCTTACAGGCATTGTTTTATAGTAATAGTGTTTTCAAGCTCTTAATTTAAAAATAGATCTGAGTTTCTTTTTAGGACAGTAAATATAGAGCACAGTGCTTTAGATTTTTGCTGGGTATCACTCTGGTGTCTTGTAACAGCTTTCATTAGCTTTAGCTGTATTTTCCACCCTTTCATTAAGCTATGCATAATGTCCTCATGCCAGCAGCTAATACCCATATTTACTTGGAAGCGAGATTTTCAGCATGCTTAAGGTCACGTGAGCTCCTGCAGCTCCTGGAGGAATATGTGTTTGTGTTCCTCATGCTACCTGCACTACTCATCGTAGTAATGATTTTTGGGAAGTAGAAGGTGTGTAGTTTGTAATTCTCTCTCCTTAAATCAAAGCTACTACAATATTGGTATATAGGCACCATATTTAGAAAGGAAAAAAGTTAAGAGTGGTACTTATCAGATTCTGGCAGTGGAGGAGCCAGCTGCTGCGTTAGGTCTGATCTAACAGCACGGTTGTCATGGCAACAACAAAAATACATTGATGTTGCAGTACTATGAGATAAAAATCACTGCGCCGAAGTGAGCAAGTGAGCGTACATAGAATCACAGAATCCACAGTTTTGCTGGAGAGGGGGAGACACAGCTGAAAAGCCAGTTCCGTGACTTCATGGAAATCGTAAGCACATAATGCCATCGTTTGTGTCCTTGAAGTAACGTAACTCTCTTCACAGAGAAAATAGTACTTACAAGAAGTCAGATGGCCGGGGCTGGGTGAGCTCTGCTTCAGCTATGCAGGGAGTTGTTCTCCACACCTGAAGGAACATCCCTTTCTTACATTTTTGCATAATGCAGAAATGCAGTCAGTCATTTTTTCCAGTAGCTCGCTCCCTCCCTGGTTCTGCAGAAAGAGCCATAGGGACTGTATAGCTCCAGGCTGCAGCGTTATTTGAGGGTTTTTTTTTTTGTTGGCATTGTTCAGCTCAACCACAGAAATTGTAGATCCTATCTCTAACCTCCCCCTTCAAAGCTCTGTGTTTTAGTCTCCTGCAGTGTAAGCTGACCCACAATCTGAGGACTCAGCAATACACAAGCACAGTTTGATAATGAAGGAGTCTCAAGCCTTATCTCTTGGTGGGTTTTGCATCATTAGCTACTGAATTGTCTTCACCAGTACTGGGACACTGTAAAGCGCTCTGTGCTTTTTGTCGGAGAACAGCCCTGTGCTTTCGGTATTAATGCTGTATTGATGTTTAATTTTCTACTGTGCTTCTTGTACCCACCTAGGAGAAGACAAGCGGATCATTTGTTTCTGTGAAACTGCAGTTTGACTGTGAGTTCTTAAAAAAAAAAAAAAAAAACGACCTGGGGTTTTCTACACCCTTAAAAAAAAAAAAAAAAAAAAAAAAAAATAAAAAAAATTTTAAGGGGAAATT